AATTTTTCAAATTCAAATTTAAAAATTGTTTCACGCATCTTCAATCTGTCAAAATAATTTTTTTAAAATAGTCGTTTTTCTTAGGCAGAAGAAAATGAAAGTTCAATCTAGGGGTGGTCGTTCACATATTTGATGGATACTAATCTCAATAGAATTTGTAAAAATATTTTTTCAACTTTTTCCACAACGCAATCATTATTTTTTAGTTCACTTTCACTTTAAAAAAATAAAAAGTGCGCTCTTGATATCTGCCATATGTATGAGTCACAAAGGCTCCGTCATTCGATTAATTCAATTAAAAATTATTTAATGTTTGTATTCTCGTTAAGGCATGAAATGTCCATCAGGGCTATTAAAACCGAAAAAACAAATTGGAAGATGCACCATTCGCCTCTTGCTCAGAAGCGGCTTAACAAATTTTTTTTTAATTAGTTTCTTCAAGTAGTTGTTTTTTGAAGGAAAAAGGATACAAATACAATCCAATTTAGGGGGTGGTGAGTCAATTTATGTTCACATGTTGAGAATAAAGTTGATACATGCCTGCTCAATTTTCCAATATCTGTGGAAATTATTTTTTAACGTGGTGGTTTTGGCAAAAGTAATGATGGAATGTAAGTCCGACGTAGCAATATTTGTTCAGACATTGGCCCATATGAATAAAAGGGAGCAAATGCTTATACTTGCAAAATTCAAAGTAAATACTCGTAAGTGCCCCCTCACACTGGGCGACTTAGCAGCACCGCTTAGGCACGGGACGGGATGCAGTGCAGAGCTGCTGAGCAGCCCAGTGGAAAGGGGCACTTACGAGTATTTACTTTGAATTTTGCAAGTATTAAGCATTTGCTCCCTTTTATTCATATGGGCCAATATATCATCATTTAAATAACGTCAGTAAGAAATCATTTTTTGCGTAGGCAATGAGGGAATGGAAGTGCAATATAGAGGTGATTCACTCGCGTATTTGATTGATACTCAATGTACACATATCATCCCTTATATAACTTCACTAATATTAATACAAGCGTCCTCAGTTTCCTTGGAAATAATTGACTAACTTAATTGCTCTCTTAAGCAAAGCTACTGAGGGAGTGCAAACCCAATTTGGGAGTGACCGGTCAATATTTAGGAACGTTTTTGTTGGTTGTGAATCAAGTCACATCAACTATTAAGTAAGGTCATGTTTAGTAAACAATTTTTAGCATAGTCTTTTTCATTAGGTAAAAGTAATGCAATATCAATTTAGAGGTGGTCGATCAGTATTTACTTACGTATTTATTTGATACTTCAAGTAAATGTATCAGCCCTTAAATAACGTCAATAAAATTCATGCAGGAAACTAAACTTTTGCGAAAATATTTTTTACCCAAATTCGTCATGAAACCTTCATTTTCAATTTTCATGCCTACTTTATGTCAGGAAAATGTTAGTTTCCATGACGGAGGCAGGCCAGTCTACTTTTCCTGTCGCCTTTCCTGTCACTTTACCTGCCGCACCTGTCACATTGCTAAATGTCTATAATGACTCCTGTGATCATTGACAGATTGGCATTAATCAAAAGTTCTATATGAAAATTGAAATTTTATATTGAAATACGATTGGTAGCAGTAATGAGAGAATAGAAGTCCAATTTAGGGGTGTTCAATCAATATTTATTCAAATTTGATTTGATACGTAATCTATACATATTTACCCTTAACTAACGTCAATAAAACAACACGAACTTCCTGAGCAGCTTTTGTGAAAATAACTCCCTTTAGGCATAAGTAATGAGAGAAAGCAAGTACAATTTGGAGATGGTCGGTTTATATTTCTTTACGCATTTGATTGATTCTTGCATAACCCTTAAATAGCTCAATAAAATTATCCGCATTATTTCTTAGGCAAATAGTTTTTTGCGTAATCATTTTTCGTGAGCAACGGTAATGGGGAAATTGATTTGGAGGTGTTCGGGCACTATCCATTTGACAGTTAATCTACAATATCATCCCTATTTTCGGTCTAGGACATAACACCGTTAGGGTGCGAGGACGATTCGGCGACGGGCATTTCGGCACGTGGAAATAGGGCGCGAAGACAAGATGACACTTTTATAAAAAAAATATGTATAACGGTTCCGTTTCGGGTTCCGGTTCTAAAATATTTGCCGTTCCGGTTTCGATTTTTTTTCAGTCTCAATGTTCCGGACCTATTGGAAATACACTGTTCTCGTTCATATTTATAACGATTCTAGTTCTAAACATCATTGTGTTGAAGTTCATTCAGTTCATAATGGTTTTTTCGGTTTCAAGTGAAAAATGGTTATCAATTATGCATGCGGATGAGTAAAAAACCGAAGCCTTGCTTACTGGATTCAAAATTATAATGGATGGATTATGTTCGTCTCACTCTTCTTATTTCGAAAATCGCATTCACACAAAAAAGTGGTTGTAACTAAGAAAAGTCAAAACCAAATGTTGAACAAATCTATTTTAAGAATGGAAGTGATTAAATTATCGCCTCCTGTTTTCGGAACGGGCACAGCTAAAAAACAGTAAAAATCGTAAAAAAATGATGTGTTCCGGTTCTCAGTAATTTTTTTAAGGGAAGGGATTACGGTTTGAGCAGTGATTTCGGTTCTGAAAAAAACAAACTGTTCCGGTACGATTTTCGGTATTTTTTCCGTCGGGTTCAGGTCCCTGAGAGCATGTACAGGATCTTTAAAATTTTTTAAGATACTTTAAAAAGTATAAGAGCGTTTATTAGTCTTTATGAGTATTTAAGACCTCCCGCCACATATTTTTCCCGCGGCCTGGAGACTTGGAGATCGTCACTGGCGTTTAACGAAGCTCGCAGCTTTAAATACTTATAACTTTGACTTTCTACTCGTGAATCTCGCCCTATGCAGTGTATTTTTCGTGGCTAGCAAAAACAAAATCAATAAAGACCGTTATTATTATTATTATTATTATTATTATTATGGTCGGTGTTTCTTGTGAGAACTCAGGTCTAGCCTGGTTAATTAATCGCACGGATTATTATTATAAAGAATGTTAGATTTTTTAAAAACCTTTAAGGGACTTATATCCAAACGCTTCAAATGCGCTTTTATAACCTCTAGAAGCGGTTATATATCCTTAGAAGATGTTAATTATCCTTAATACACTTTAAAAGGAGTTAAGAGTTTTCTGGAGTCCTTAGTAATCTTTAAAAGCTTTTATCAGGATCATTAGGAAGGCACGTTCACAAGCATTTAAGAACTTTTAAGCGTCAAGTTTTTAAAGATATTTACTAATCTTTAAACCTTTAGCAGTATCCAAAAGTTTCAAAATGTGCAAGGGGCGTATAGAACCTTTGACCTTTAAGAGACCATTAAGGAGTGTTTCTCAAAGAGACTTTCACTGTTTAAGAGCTTGTAAGGGTATTTTACAACTCAGTTTTTAATAGGATTTATGAATCTTTAACTGCTTTAAGAATCTGTAACAAGAGCCCTTTAGACCGTTTTAAATTTTTTATTGGTCTTTAAAAGATCAGGGTTTGCAGAGCCTTGACGAGCCTAACCTTTCAGATTAAGAAATCATCTTTTTGATGCAATGGTGAGAGGGGTGGTGGTATATGGAACGGGGGCATGGGGATGGACTAAACAGAAGAACACGACATTACATACTAGAGGAGAAAATAACAATTGAAAAGATAAGGTATTTAGTGGGAACAAAGGAAAAACTATTAAGAAGGAAACGAAGGGACAGAGGTCGAAAGGAGAATTCGAGAGGAAACGAAAGCTACAGTGAGCTGATAATGGAGCGGGTAAGGAGGTATCTTAATAGAGGGAAAGAAAAACATTAAAATATAGGCACGGTTCAGATTCAGAAACGTCAGGAGCGAGAAAGGGAGAAGTAGAGAGAAAAAGAAGGAAGGAAATGTAAATTATCATAATGTAATGTAAATTTTGTAAAAAGTATAAATATCTATCTACTTCTGAACATTATTTGATGAGGTCTTTTGGGATACTGTCTTAATAGCTTATTAGGAACTAGTATCACTAATCCTGTATCGACTTAATGGAACTCTAGAAGTTCGCAACGAACATATCTTAGATTACTTTTAAAACCAAAAAACCTTTTTATAAAATTCTAAACGAATGCTTGCAAATGAAGACATTCAATTTGTGTAAAAGCACCGATTTTATCAGCAGATTGTATATGCGAAGATATATTTCCTTATTCCAAAAAACAACATTGTAATTTAATTAGAGAGTTTTGACAATGAATGTAAGTACCTACTCCAAAAATTAAACATTAAATGACACATTTTGTACAAGCACCAAATTTAGAACTATTGAGATTTTTCTTTGCTTTAATGGCATCACCACAAAATTATAAAAATGTACTCGTGACAAAGCATTTTAATCAATGTACCGACAAATATTTGATGAGGTGAGCATTTTTATTTTACTTAAGAAGCAGGCTAAAAGAACAAACTTCAAGCCTTATTAGCAGGAACAATAAAAGCATTTTCATTTATATCAAAGTAACGTCTCTCGTTTATGGTTTTAGTTTTCTCAAAAATTGTGCAAGTAGTAAACACACTTAAAGCTACCAGTCATTCTATTAGGTAATGTACTACAGTTACACTATGCAAACAGCTTACATTTGCACAAACACTGTAATCCATACAAGCTTTGAATATAGGGTACGGAATTATCAAGGAAAAATAGTATCTCACATTTCTAAACTTTACTGTGAGTTCAAATATATGCCAGCTTTACCCCCAAAGTACATTAATTTTTAAGTTTGCACGTTTGAATCATTCTCTCTCATATCATAGATTTTATGTCGGAAAAGGTTTAGGATTTCTATCTGAAAGTCTATATTTCTATAAGTGTGAAATATGAGCACCAAATGAGACCATTTTAAATTTAGGTACCAATTTAAAACGTTAGTGAGTTCTTCTCATGGTAATTATTCATAGTAGTCAATTAACACAATTATTACAACTTATAAGTATAAGTACGTGATAAATACCTTTCCAGCAATTGAATGCATCATACAGCACTGGATTGCTCCCCAAACAACCATTCATCACAGTATTACTTTATTTTTTGTACTAACCAGAGGGTGGCAGAACAAAATCAGAACTAAAACAAATTGGAAACTGCTCTTGAAGCCATGTTTTGCACACTACAAATTTACTTTTTTGTAACTCAAATAATTGCAAACTAGTGTAATCCCCATAAAAGTAAAAATAACCAAAGTATCTCGACGAATGTGAAGAAGGCAAAAAGCTTTAATACATGCACTGACATTAATTATCTTAGGTAGGTACTACTTATCAAATGTGAGCATGTCAGGGAAAGTATAATGGTTTTTTTACAACTGGCTCGTTACATCGCACGTTAATTTATAGTGTAATTAACATACATTGTGAATATTTATTCCACACATGCGGTATTCTTTCTAAGAAAAACATTCCAAAGCGGATTCCAGCGTCAAAACAGAGTACTTAAAGCAATATAACTTATGTAATGATTATATAACAGTTGAATCTGCACTGACCATTTTCCTAGTCCGTACCCATTGAACTATCTCTAAGACGTGCGAGTCAATCCCGAGGAAAACCGTTAAAATGTTACCTAATTAAAATTCGAATGGGATCTTTCGAACGAGCCTAGGTGATGCTAATATAATCACTTCATGGTAAATTGGTTAAGAAGTAGGCCACATTTGATTTCTATACAATTACGTCTCGTCTCGAGAATAACGACACGTGACACCAATTCAATTCATCCACTTATTTATGTATATCCGCATGCGTTAAAAAATAACAAAGAGCCACACTTCGTATAATTTAACTACATCATTGCCGACAGGAGAGTTTCCCCTGGAATTAGATTTCGGTTTCGGTCGATTTCCTTCTTATTTTTTAATAGCGTACGTACCGACCGATTCATAGTAAATGAAAACCCATGCAATACGCCAGCACATGTTTAATTTTTTTCTACTGTGTTTGTGTTGTTTTGTTTGCTCTATGAATGTAGTTTGGAAAGCTATTTAACGGAAAAATACGTACCTATTTAGGGTATGAATAGGTGACATTTTATAGTGACAAGTGTGAACACATTCAAACAGTTTAATAGGACAATAATTTCATGGCTGGTTTTGAAACCGCGACAATACTAAATGATCAATGAACCTCATAATTCGATTAGTTCTTCTTTCTTTATATGGAAAAAACATTTTCTTATAGAATGTGAATCGTTTTGGATTCTACGCACCAAAATTAATAAGAAAAAGTGTTTTCCCGAGAATTTTTGGGAAAAAAGGAAGGTTATACACTGCCTTTTTTTGAGGCCGGAAAAAAAATTGTCTCAGATCAACCGGGAAAAACCATTTTCTTATAGAATGTGGATTGTAGATTCCATAATTTCAAACAGTTCCAAGATTGGGCTACTGAATCAAAAGTTACAGCCCTTTGAATTTTCTATCGAAATTGGTTTCTAGTCCATAACTTTTGAATGAGAAGTCTAATCGAAAAAGTACGAATCGTTTTATATTCTACGCACCAAAATTAATAAGAAAAAGTATTTTCCCGAAAATTTTTGGTGTAGTCGATTTTTGGTAAAAAAGGAAGGTTATACACTGCTTTTTTTGAGGCCGGAAAAAAATTGTCTCAGATCGACCGGAAAAAAAACATTTTCTTATAGAATGTGGCCTGCAGAAACCATAATTTCAAACAGTTCCAAGATTGGGCTACTAGATCAAAAGTTACAGCCCTTTGAATTTTCTTTCGAAATTGGTTTCTAGTCCATAACTTTTGATTGAGAAGTCTAATCGAAAAAGTACGAATCCTTTTGGATTCTACGCACCAAAATTAATAAGATCGCATCGTCGTACCGCGGGGGGTTCAATAATGATTTTAGAATAACTACCTGTTCGATGAATTTTTTGAATGCATCCAACGACGACTATCCTCATTCTATTTATATGGTAGCGTTTTAGACGTAGATTTATAATGTTCGCCAAATCGCCACCATGAAACCTACGCTACCCTTATTACATTTTCACCTTTTTGTTGATACAAAGAAGCAAATATTTTATGTCGATTCAAACAGACTTTTTGTTACGGAATTTATAATGTCCGAATCAAATGGTATCGTGTAATCTGTAGAGATCCAAAACGATCTTGAATGATCAGAAATTCCCTGGAATCTTTGTATTACACGGGGAAGACTTACAACTTTTAAAGCATTAGTGAGTGACGTTAACACATTTGAAGAATTACCGGATGGCCAAAATAAGAGAGGGCACGGAGTCGTTCAATACTCCTGGTATAATCATAATTATTATTATAACTTTCAATATAATTTTTTTTAATTTGTAACCACAATATTACCTAAATAGAGGGATTAATTGTTTCGGTACTCTCGTACGTCCTCGAGGTTGCCTTGCTTCGTCCGCAAATAAACTCTTGTCCATTTTTGCCTCGGTATTCGTTGAAGTATACGATTTTTCGGCCTTGATGTACAAATATCTACTAATAGTAGCCTTAAATCATGTTTTGTTGTTATTTAAGAAATTATCAGAAAATTGGTTACACAGTAATTGTGGTATTTAAGGACCGTTCGCCTAGGACATCTTGGACTACGGTGAAACCAAGTCCAGTAAAGACATTTTTCCAGTTAAATTACAATTAAACCATGATGTCGGAGGAAGGAAGGTAAACTTTAAAATCTACTTATAATGACACCTACATCACAACAAACTTACGAAAGCGATTGCATTCATTCACAATCACAAAATTAAAGTTTTAGCAAACGTCTTTAATATATTGTGATTGTACGAGAAAAAACATTGTGGCCAAAAGGGTTGCTTCAAGGAATAATCTATCAGCTATTGTCAGAAAAGTCGCCAGGGGTTAGTTAGGTAAGCGGTTAAGGTTCCCGACTTGAATAGAGGAGGATCAAATAAAACGTATTTTTACACTTGTAAGTAATAATGTTGCAATTATTATAAAAAAAGCGGAGGGTTATCCACCACAAATGATAGGGGATGAAAAGATTAGGTACCTTTAAAAAAATTTCCTTGCCAGTAAAACAGCTGTTTCAATTTCGTTGGTAGGTACACCGTAAATGCGTTTACTGTCATTATTTCGAGCAGATCCACCATCACCAGCGAATAAGGCCAATTAAGTTCAAATTCACCGTTGCAGTATGCACATTTTCAACTTTTGCGCAAGACTTACATATCGCTTACGTATACGTACGTAAAAGTTACGTTCAATAAACATCTTCGTATGTTTCTATACTTACAGTTCAACTTTGCGAAATTTTTAAGTTTTATGTATTTCTTACGTATACGTTCATTGTAAACAAGCAGTAAGTGACAGACGTAGTAGTTGTTGTAGAAAGTAATTTCTTGGATACTTTGGTTTTCATTGTAATACTTTCTTAAATATAACTTTCAGAAACATCTGAGGATTTCCATTCACCTAACCGTTTTAAGGTGTCGTTTACATTGAAAAATTGGAAATTTGTCTCCACAATAACTGCCTTCTAGGTACAAATTTTTGGTTGAAATAGCATTCATTCAAATATATAATGTTCCGACATTTGCATGTAACAAAAATTATTTAGGTAATTTCTGCACTTTCGCCGTTTTTTAGGAAATATGTTGTTAAAAAACTCCCATATAAAATATATATCTTTCATTTTTATCACACACTGATAATAACTTGTTATCAAATTTAACTTCATTCACGAGCTTAAACCCTTAGCAACCATCGGTCGTCAACAGAAGTTTATTTTTTTACCTCAAAACAAAGTTATTGGGGAAATCGCAAGGCAACTTTTGCACTTTTTGTAAATGCCACCTTAATGTAGTGAGATTAGTAGCCAATATGGTCGCCCACGATCTCCGCAAGGGTATACCTTCCCCGAATCAGTTACTTTACCCTCGACATTGAGTACGTGGACCACAGGGTTGAAGCTTTCCACATCTTTGACTGTTAATATATGTACTTTAGTATAGTTGCAAAACAATTAATTACATTCTAATCACTCATACCTTTTGAAGGAAAAATGTCAATATGACATTTTCGGAAATATTCCTTTCAAATTCATTTCACTCCACCAATTGCAAATCCGATCGAAAGTATTCCAGTTTCTTTTCATTTGACTGAACTCTCATGTTAAAATAACTATTATACAAGCAAAACGTGAAATGTGTCAAATTCATTTATTTTGTGTTAGTTTTGGATTTTTTATGATTAATTCATATCCAGCTCACCCAAATTTGAGTTTGTCGATTAAATTTCTCTAGCTATCTAAATGTTTTTTTGCAATATTATTTATCAAAATTTCAAATTACAATCGGTGGTTAGTTTTGAAATGAAAGCCCTAGTGTTTGTTTAATTGGAAATATAGTCTTTGTGAATGCGATCGTGCTTTTTATGAACTAAAGGAAAAATCACTCATCAGTTTAATAACATTATTGTTCCAGTTCCGTATACGAATCTTCAATAATTATATATCTCACATGAGTAATCGTTTACATTATCTTTAATCACGAAAAACTCCACGATAGCAATCTATATTCTCAACATTGCATGTGGCAGGCTTCGCTTTGCCATACTATCTATAAATTTTCATTCTTCATCTCCCTATTCTCACAGTGGTCCTGGGATATCGCTCATTTTCGAAAAAGTTTATATTTAATCATCTCGTGACTAAACGATTTCAATTAAATATCTGCAAATATCCTCAGAAAGCGATACTGAAATATGGATTCTACCATTGTTTAAATACTTTACTCTGCGACGTGTTTTTAATTAAAATCTTCAGATTTAATGTTAAACACAAATCTAGCTTTATAATAATAATATTTATTACTGTTAACATGCTTCAAATTGTGCATTTTGTTCACCTACCTGAGCAGTATAGCGCTACTGAGATTTGTTCCATTATATACTTCTGGTTCTAAATGTACTCATATTCCTTTTCTGGTCTGCCCCTAGCATTTGTACCTTCCACGCAGTACCTTGCAGTAATGTCTTTAGTAAACCTAGAATGTGTGTCGGGGTGTCGGAGGAGGGTACTCTCAAAGGGCGAAAAGATCAAGTAGACGAGACACATCTACCAAAGGGACAGAAAAGGTCACTTAAATGAGTATTATCGTTGGCGAGTTATTTTAGAAAAACCGAAAAAAGTCAGAAATTTTTGCAGATTTTTGACCACAATTTCTCCCGACGCCAGTCGCATTGGCAAACTTGGACGTTTCTCGCTCTATACCATTTAAACAAGTCGGAAAAGTAAAATCTTCTACCGGACCTTTTGTAACCATAAAGTGCAAATTGACTGAACTAGTAGCATTTTTAGATATATTTTTAAAAATCCGAAAATGCGTTCCGAAAAACGTAGGTAAGCCATCCTTCTTTCCATTATGGTTTAAAAAAAAATGAATGAAACTTTTTGATAGCCTCAAAACGGTCTATTTTGGTATCTCAATTCAGTTGGAAAAGATGTTTATTTTGGTCGCTTATACCAACAACTTTTTTCTTACTTTATTTCTACTTAGTTAGGTATATCATCACATTCTGTTTAACCGTATAATATTGAAAAAATTGTCAACTTTAGTTACGTGATTTATTTATTTACAATTAATTAACAATAACTTTAGTCTTGAAATGGATTAATTCATAAGCGTTTATCACTCACAATTTATAACTTAACACGAACGCAACCATGTTGCTTATGTAGCAAACAACAATCTTTCTAGAATGTTCTTCGAGAGCTCCCGAACGCTTCCGAATATTCTAAATTTTATATTCCTGGAAAGAATGCGCCTTAGTTTCTTATTGCCGATGACTAATCCTCATGGTGCCTCGATGTCTATCGGAATTTCTAGACTATCTACTACAATATTCACCACAGGATAATGAGCCACAATGACAATGTATAGGTACACCCACCCCTGTCATTTATATCCTTTGCTCCACCCACGCATGGTTAAACTGTTACACTTCCTAATTGTGTATTATTATTGCATACTCGTTTCACAATGCCCCCTTGTCCCCTGCTCTCAATCTCACTGGGAGGTGGGGAAGGAAGTAAGGCGCTAAGATTGTTGCGCTAGGTCAAGAGATTTATAAAGGAATTCTACGATGCAACCTAGCACAATTGGTGTTTTTCAGGAAATCTAAGTTAACAGAGTATAATAATATGTGGGTACATAACCGATTTCTTTGTATTGGTAATGACGAAAACATATCTACATACATATGAAGGACTCGTAAAACTCAGATTATGAAAGTGCGTTAGAAGTAACAATTACATTTTTAGATATGTGTAATTTGTCAAGGATTTGTAGTGAACTAATTAAACACAATAAGTGTATAAAAATGAAATTTAAACAGTGATTTACATAATCTAGTAGCAGGTATTATGAACGGTGTTAATGGAACGACGACGCGACGCTAAGGTGGTATAATCGGGAAGGCACGTCGCGTGCATTACATCCGATCTGCATTTCTGACATGAATTTTCCATAATCTTTCCATTCATGTATCTGTGTAAAAGAATACCAACCTTGAAAACGTATTTGAATGATAAAATGATGTTAGAAATGTTAAGGTAGTCGATTGTTCAACCCCCTGCGAAGTTGTAGGCGTATGGGGCAGGTACGTCGTCGTCGTTTGGTTTTCTAACGAGCGTTGCGTGTGGTAAACAATTTGTATGTGTTTATAACTGTAATCTCATAAACGCATGCACCAACAATTTACACATTGTCTTTTGGTGTTTCAGGGACGGCGGCGACGGTGTCGAGAGACGTGGAGCGCGGCGCGTGCCCAGTCTACGGTTAGCGAACGGGCGGGTGGCCGCGGCTCAGTCCGAAGAGGAAATCCGCTCGCCTCCACCGCGCCGTTTAGCCAAGGATGACTCTATCAAGATCAGCATCGAGAACACGAACACGTGCACCGATTCTTTGGTGACCGCACTCGATGACGAAACGTTGCTTATCGCGGATTACCTTTCCAACGACATGAATTATAAGGGTAGCGGCAAAGTCCATTTCGGTGTGGACGATGTCTCGTTGTACGGCACCCCAAAGGAAGAGCCCGGACCCACCCCCCTGGGCTCCGCGGAAGCCGGTAAACAAAGTTTCCTCAAGAACCAGCTACAAGCACTCTTTCAACCCACGGACAACAAATTGGCCATGAAACTTTTTGGATCGAAGAAGGCACTTATGAAAGAACGGATTCGACAGAAAGCTTCAGGTCATTGGGTTATACATCCTTGTTCTAGCTTTAGGTGAGTACCTTAATTATTTTTGCGTAAACACGGGCATGCGGTTTGTACCTCTAATAGACATTCGCGGGACAGAAGCTGTTAAGTTTCAATATTATGAAAATTATAGGTTTCCTTCCCAAAGAAACCATAAAATTACTTACTTTGCAAGTATTTACGCTTAGAATTCTATTAATCTAGATATAAATAGCATAATTTTTACATAACTTTAAGTACCTAATTCGATTTTGATAACTGGGCATAAAAAATACCCTATAAAACGTTACCTGTTGCCAGTAAATATGCGCTTAATTTGAGATCTTTCCGGTAATTGTTAATACATATTTAATCGTGTAGTAAAAGTTTATCGTATCACCTTGAACTCGCCATCCTTCATAAAGAAGAAGAAATTTTCAATTCAATAAGTTGACTTTGACAGTTGATAAATTAATTGGGAACGTGTCTTGGTTCGCAATTTCTTTTAGAACACTTTGCCTCAATTTCTTAATGAAGTAAATTTCGTGTGTCTTATTCGATATGCGCCCCTTCAGCTAACTGAAAATCGTAGTCCTGATTGATCAATTTAAATTAATACATCATAAATAAATTTATTAAGGTTATTAGTACACATTTCTCAATTCATAAACGCTACTAGTACGAGTTGCATGTCCGTTGTATTGTTATTTAGATTGAGATTGTTATATCGTGTACTTAACTCTCTTAGGAAATAGATAACCCGCAAAGTGTAAATCAATGACAACGTAACCTTGTCCTTTACAAGTTGAAATTTAACAATCCCGTTTCTAGATAAAGTTTAATCAAAGAATTAATTACGCAGGGCAAAGTGATTACGAACATTGGGTACCTACCGAATTTTTAGTGTACGTACGCTTCCAGTGTTGCATTAAGTAATTATTTGCAGCTAGTGGTGCATTTTTCTCTTATTTTGTGCAATTGCGCGTTGGCAATAAATTCGCCTGATTAAGTGGTTACAAAATAATTGCTCTATTTGTCTAATCGAAAAAAGAATGAGAAAAATTTTCGTAAACGAGGAATGCGCAAACTTTTTCCACGTGTTTGCGTTAAGTTATGCGAATACCATCTCTGTTCTAATGTTCCAACCTTGACCAAGAATTAGGTATACAAAAAATCAAAACCAATAGCCTGTACTTTTGGTGGTCTCAAACCGCGGAAGAGTAGTACTTCTTAGATTTGGTCTCATTATATGCTTAATCGTTCTTTAATGAAAAGTATTCGGAACTAATGAAATGGGTACGTTTATGCTTTCTACCTACAACAAATTATTAATAGCAACAATCCAATCAAGATAAATTTACTCAATTCCTTACGGTGCAGCGGCACGATAGGCTATTAAGTTCTTGCATAATCGCGTGTTGTTTAATTCGCTTTGTATTGTGTAAGTTCACAACTTCCGAAATCTACAAAAAAGACTAAAACTGATGCTAATCATAAATGTACCTAAGAAGGTATACTAAATTGCCAAACAGAACGAGCGTTTATTAATTGCCCGTTTCTAAAAAATGTATAGTATTCCTATAGAATATTTAAATTTACCAGGCTCTAAATTTATCCCTAGGTATAGAAAGATGGAATTATTAAAATCTTATCTGCAAAGGAGGTCCAAATTATGGTTTCTGCATATAATTGTTACCACTGACTATACATATAACGCTTGTAGTACAGCAACATTACTCCACTGTACTATAATTTGGTCAATTAAGGTCGGGTATGAGGTAAAAGTAATACATGAGGACTCATTGGAATCCAGTGACTACTATTTTTTTGCATAGAAATCAAATTACCGCATTTTTTGTCAACAATCATATGGAAAATGATACCTACTTTTTTCATCATTTTATTCCGTGGTAATTTCTTGATTCAAATACTCCTTTCATTTTCTTACGTTCTCTTACAGTTTCGAAAGAGAAGATCAAAGAACAGCACAATACAACCGATAAAACAGATTGTAAGGCATCAGAGATTACAGCAGTAAATCCGAGGGAATATCGGTTTCAGTTATTATACAAAAGGTCATCAATTTTATCTCAACTTATTCAATGAATTGCACAGAGTTGGTTAGTGAAATTTTGATACTATACGATAATTTAAAACTTTTTTAACTATAATTAAGACAACCTAAAATTAATCAATTGAATTCATTATGGATTTGTCCTCCATGATTATTTACTACAGCTTACTGTTTTCGGCGCCACCAAATTGATCGGTTACTAATTTCTTGGTAGGCATGGTGTCAAACAACAAAAACTATGCGATAATTTAATTAAGCGCTAGTGTTGAAAATAGTGTTTTTGTGAACTATGACCTATGAGTATATTTACTTACTCAAAGTGTTGTATTCAACGAGGTTACGATCGGGGCTATTTGGAGGCCACGCGATATAAAATTTAGAACTTATTATCGTACTTCTGGAAGTATGCAATGGTGCACCATCTTGTTGGAAGATAAAGTGCATGATGCATCAAATATCTGTTTGATCAATTTTAGCCTACAAAATAAATTTTTGTTTTTCCCAGAATTGTTACTCCTAGTGAAACCATCACTGGAGCCGGAAAATGACACTTTTCAACTGAAATAAATTCAATGTTATATCAGATTTCTTTCGAGCACATTAGTTCTGAAAATCATATTTTTTCAGTGTGTTGTATAGGTCCTGAACCTCTTACTTTTAAATCCTTTGTTCTTTACATCTGCACATATTTTGTAATAAAAAAAGGTACTTCCTTGTTCTCTTCCTATCAACTGATACCATAATATTTTTGCCCAGCTCCAATTACCAGAGGTGACTTAAATGCTGAAGATGATGATGATAGCGAATTTAAGACAATTTAGATGTAGATTGTAGGAGAAAGAACCAATTTTATAAATGAATATAATAACCATACCTTAGTATATATGCAGTATCCCAAGATTTCCAAAAACGCCGCTAATCACAATTAAAGTTGATAACGCCAGCTTCGAGGGAACACGCCGAAAATAATGAGCAGTTCTTCGAAATACATTATCTCTTCTAACAGCGAGAAGAACACGTGCGTTAAATAAATTTTGTCCGATAAAAGTCCTTATCGCGATGATCCTACACCTTAAGACGCAATTTCACGTTTTACAATTAAATACACAAATCTAAATAAACATTTTACAAAAGCGATAAAATTACAACGAAAACTACGCAGTTACAAAATTTTGCAAACAACACTGAGATACAAATTCAAATAAAATTAATCAACGCTTTGCTTATTTCGCAAATAATCCCCCAGATTTACACTAAATAAATTGAAATATTGTCATGTACAGGATGTCCCGCCATTTTTTCGGTGCTTAGACTGAAATGTCTGAATTTTTAGCAGATTTTTCGTCCGGGTTTTATAATTAGGTATCTCAAAAACTCCTTAAGCTTATGCAAAATTATCTTCACAAAAAGTTTTTATTGGCTCTCCAGAGATTGTTTAGTCTCAGAGAAACCTAGGAAAGCGATTTTACAGATATCTCTAGAAATGCAGCAGCCGGGGTTGCCGGCCCCTTGGTTTTGTGGACGCTATGGCCAAGAGAGTCCCTACCTCGAATTTGTGTTGGGACTAATTCTGTAACTGAATAGCGGGACTGGAGCAACCTCCACTAAAATACTGTCCACTTAAAAATATAGACAAACATAGGAAAAATAGATTCCATCATTTGCAGAGGTCCTTACCAAAAGCTCTTCTGAGATTCTTTAGAGGATTCGTCATAGTTAAAAAAAAGTAGAATCTTTATAATACTCCTCAATATTTGGTAAATGTTTTTGATTCTGATTGACTGAATTTGTGGACATTCTCAAGTGATTTTTAGCGATTCTTTTCAGGGAATGTTTAAAGATTTTAAAGCTCGCTAAATGTGCTCCGGAAGTTCTTCAGGTTTATCCATTATTCTTCATGGAGTTTTTTCAAAGAGTCTTTGCAGGTATAGTTTAGCTTTAGGGAATCTTCAAATATGCTAACTATATAGATTCCTGAAATATGCTTCCGAACTTGTTTACATTTCCCACTTTAGAGATTCGTCAGGGACAGGGATTCATTATACGTCTATGTTGTTGGAGGTCTTGGTTACAACATCAAGGGATGCAGAAATTGGCGAGGTTTTCTGGAACACAGAACTTTTATTGAGATCTATTTTTATCTAACCGATAATAGTTTAGTTTTCATCGCGCCACCCTGTGGCCTCGATGGCGTACGTAGGTTGTCATACATTAGTTCTTCGGGAGAATTTGTACTTCCCCGTCAAACCCTTAAACAAAATAAACAACTTAGGTTCACGAACCTGGATGGCGTGGCTAGAGAACACACATTATCTGCTAACATGAATTAGTTAAACCGAGTACTGCCCAAAGCAATCCAATAATATCAAAACCATCGAATATCAATCATTCATTTATCGGGATTGAATGCGTGGGACGCGTAGGACTTAATATACGATTTGTGTACTTACAAAATATGTAATAATGTCATGGAGATTATTTTAAAATGTCAATAACAATGTATTTTCGTATAGAACCGGAAGGTATTTCAATTTATCTTCTACACATTCAAAACACGGCGACCTAGTTATTCATCACTTCGAAGGATTTTCAGTTTCTTTTTAATAAAAATATGCGTTCACGTCATACCGTAACATCGTACGAATATCGTTTTAATAAATAACCAACCAACACTTTGAGTTACCAGTTATGAAATTTCACTTCTATTATTTTTAACAGTTATACAGGATGTAACAACTAAGTCATTTTCGAGTAAGAATACACATTGGAAAAGACCATATGAAATTAAGTTCCATTCGCCCTTCTTCCAATGGATATTACGGATAACACAAATTTTAGAAATTTTGTTGCTAAACGAAACATTTGGAAATGTGTTGATTTGAAAAGAGATGATTGAAAACCATACTATTTTAATTGTTAGTATCTAAAATTTCAAATAATGGGCAGTCTACATACCAACTGAGTATTTAGAGTAATTTTGATTCAAAATATTAAAAGGCGTCTGAGTTATAACGACTGAATCCAAAATTATGACAACTAGCCCCGGTCTCCTACTCTAGATCTATAAATATTTCTTTGTAACTTCGTATTATAGCCAGAAGATGATACATCCATGAGTTCACAGATAAAAACTGTAATGTGTAATACAAGATATTTTTTGACCATTTAAAGGATGTGTACTTTTTATTCTTATAACACAATATCTTATTTGTACAGTTTCCTAATCTAAAAAAGCCACTGAAAAGGAAGCACGAAAGTCAAACTGTCATCAGTATATTGTGTCACGTTTCCATCATATGACGATAAATTGGGATTTTCGTAGCAAAGTTCAAGGATCACAAAAATGACAAACGATAGTTTACGAAACTGACAAATTCGTCACTAAGGGCAACTTTACTAGTCTTTCAAACGCAAATCATACAATATCATAAAATATTATCGTTTGGCTTGGTTGTTTAAATTAATAACGAGATTCTTGCATACGATTTGAAGAATATATTTACAAAGTAAGTCATTTGCGGTTATACTAATTATTAGTCAATGGTTATACTAATTAAACATTCTTCACATGAATAATTCAAGACTCAAGTGCAAGACCTTTTCGAGGCCAGGATCTGTCAAATTTGATCCAATATAAGATCTCTGTGATGCAAATTCACAATTTGGGATATATATGCAGTTGTTATCTGTTAGGTTAACGCGTTTAGCACAATATCTGTTGGTATGCAGGAAAGCGATCATTAATGACACTTTAACTGATTAGTACAAGCGTCACTTTATTACATTTTCGAGCGATGTAAATACGCGAAAGGTCCACCTTTATTTATCTATCTATCGCCCTTCCATTTGCATTTTAATTGGGATATGAAATGTTTGGATTAGAATCGGGGCAACGACTGAAAGTGTGAATACATTCTCATCATGGAACAAACATTTGAAAGTCCTTCCGTTTTCCGTAGCTTCGCTACGTTTGCAAAATACTAAAATTAATGTTGATGTTCTTAAACTTGTTATAAGTCCACCTACACGTAAAGCAATTTTTTAATACATAAAGATTGTTCAAATTAATGGTTTTACAGAAACCAACATCCTGTTTCGTGATATCCCCAATCAACAAATTCTGTCAGAATTAATCGTTTCGTACTCAAACAGCTTAAAGCCCTCCTCCAATACCCTAACACCATTTTCCTCTACATTAATTTTCTTGGCAACTTGAGCACGGGAGAGATTCCCGGAAATCGAAAATCGTAGGTGGGTCACAAATGGCAATGGTAATTTCACCATTCTCCTTTGCGCTATGAAACCACAGATTTAAAATCTGTGATGAAACTAAAGAGATAAAATCCTCTAAAAAAACTCCTGTTTTTAGTTTTGCGCCACCGATACCAAACTGTAAATCTCAATTTAGAAGCGGCAATAAAATTATTAGTATGCTAGGAAGGAAGTGCGCCCGAGCATGAATACGTATAATACGGAAAATGAAGAAGGAATATGTTTCGTGAATAACAATAGGTTCTGAATGTCGTTAATTATGCGATTGTGAACGCCGAAAGTGATATTTTAAATCTGTGTCGTCATGAATGGGATTATTGAAAAGGTTGCTAAAGGTATTATCAGCTTTCCCAAACTGACAGTCCCGCTAAGAAAGCTGGGATTTTCGTGATTCAAATCGTGAAACCTTGCTGGCCTCAGCTCTGAGAAATGTAAAAATAGAAATGATAATAGCATAAAAGGAAGCGTTTAGCAAAGTTTTATTCCAAATTCAAAAGTGCCTAGACATTTTATGATCCAATTGCCAATTTCTCTCTTATTTTATTATTTTGGTGGGTATAAAAGGTCGGGACATAATTCTGTTTTTCGACTAGTCGAAATCGATATATTAACTATACTGACCAAGTGGACTCTTCTATAGTGGACTAATCGCAACATGATTTAATAACCTTATTCACTTTACCCATTTCAGTATTCACTCTCCTATAAAATATCAGCTCTGTTGAGAGGTTAATTAATTTAGAAGAAGCAGAATGCCTTGCTTTTTGCTTTTTGATTTCTCCAAACTGTAATGTTTAAAATCAAAAAGTATAAAAGTAGAAAGTAGAAAAATTATACAATTCGAAGGTTTATCTTTTAATTATTTTTTATTCAGGTAAAAAACTTGTTACGGCATGTCGCAGCACAAAATTAACATGAAGCTGCAGTATTTTATTTTATTTCACCTCCCAAATTTCACATGATTTGTCGGTATTGGTAACGTATGAGAAGCGTGTAGAAATGTTGGAAACGTTTAAGAAAATTTTTGTTTCAAGAATGTGTAGGAAATTTTGGATATATATCAAACATTTTTAAGAATCTTAGGAATACGGGAAGACATTTAAAATTGAGAAAATCAATAGAAGAACATTTTTGACACGTTTTAATTTTTTCATAATGTGTAGCCCTTTTTGGAGATTTAAAAATTGTAACGAGAATCATCTAGAGCTAGACTTATCTACACTATCACGTTTTATCCAAGTCTTGGCGATAACGCATAAGAATTCGATATTCGAAAATATATTTCATAATTCTTTTTATAAGGCCAAATGATACGCCCCCATAATTACAGGCTAATATCAGATGCCAAATTCTTGAGAGAACAGCTTCTACCTCAAACGAGATATTAAAAAAAACGTTTTTGTATGTCTTACATCCTCAGGTACATCCTTTATGCCTAATTTACACTGCAAAAATTCTAATGAAATCAAAATAACTTGTTGAACAAAAATTTTAGTTATTTAACTTTAATATTTTTCCTCAATTTTTTTGTAATAAAACCTAGCATCATTTTTTATGGTTGTCCATACAAAAAAAGTCTTTCATATAATTTATAAGAAAATTTGCCGGTGCCGTTGAGCCGCTCCAAAAATGTTTTCCAAAAAATCCGACCCGTTATTTTTCGTTTCCATACGCCTAAAATACATTTCCAAAATTTTAACAAAATCCCGCGAATCTTTACTTCGGAAAATTGCCAACATACGTACGGCGGGGCCATCATCCCCCCGACCCAACCAAAACTGGAACGAAAAAAATTACGTCTTTTCGAGTTTTCCCGGGGGAGGGGGAGGGTGTACATTTGCCTTGGGCGCCTACATACCACGCGACGACCCTCGACCCTCAAAGGTTATTTTGGTGATCAGAATCCAAGATGTATGGTGGAACAAGTTGTGCCATTTTGTGCTTTTTAATGAACGAAGCGTCGCGTTTGTAAATTTTGCAGTTTTCGGGTGGTTGGTTGGTTCTTCGTTTAGGTGCCACCGGTAACTCTCGTCTGCCAATTACACAGAGATTTTGTTGCTTCTCCGCAACCCCAAAACAACAGCAAAAGTGGCAGCAAATCTTTAAAAGTGATTTAATTTGCTAACAGAATTTCATGAAGTTGCCCAAATGAATCGGGCAATACTTAATTCAAAACATTAAAGCCTAAAATAAAACGATAATTAAACCCATGAACACTCCCTTGACAATAACGTTTAAAGGCTTTTGAAAATGCTTCAGACAATTTTGGAAATGTTGGAAGAATTTTTGAAAGAACTTCGGATATGTTTTAGAAACGAGTAGAGAATTTTAAAGGTTTAAAAGCGATAATTTGGTGTGTTTAGAAAAATTCAGAAGTATTTCGGAAGTGATTGAAATGTTTCATAAATGTTTCTCAAACATGGAAATGTGTAGAAACGTTTGAAATGTTTTAGAAATGTCTAGTAGAATTTGGAAGTACATAAAAAACGTATACACATTTTAGAAATGGCCGCAAACTTTGTAAAAAATTATAAAAATGTTTCATACGGTGTTTCAATCGATTGTGCCCACACTAGTTTTTGGTGTACAAGTTTCCTCTAAGACTTTTTTCATTATCTTTTTTATGGTATAGGAATTATCATCCGAGGAGTCTTAGATGCTACATCCTGTATATTTACCCAATGCATTATTATTTATTCTTTTATAATTTCTCATTATTCTATTTGTAATTATCCATAAAAAATGGGCACGCATTTCCGGTAGTAATTGCTTGTTTTATCACAAATAATTTTTTCATTTTCATCTTGCCAATAAACTTCTCCAATACAAAAAGAAATTACAAATAGAATTGGATTGCAAGGTAAGTGTGTGGTTACCTAGGTGGTATTTAATGCAATATACTCACACATCAATACTAGCATTTAGATTTTCAAGTATAATAAATACCATTATATTTATTTCTAAATTGCGATTTTAGTTTTCTTTCGTCTGCACTTAATACATTATTTCGTTTGCATTTGCAAAATCTGTGTAATGTAAATCGGAAGCTTTTTCAATAACATTCATTCCAAATTTCTTCTGAAATGTCTATACAATGTATAAATGGTTTTTTATATTTATGTTGCGTGAGATCTTAGCGATCAGGCAAATAAACATGAAATTGTTTTCTTATACTCCAGGAATTCCTCTAGGAAGCCGATTTCAAACAGAAGCGAGGCAATAA